AGACATTTGTGTCCCACGTCATCGTCTAGTGATCATTATAGTTTTGTGAGAATAAATTTTCTTTCATTTTTTGATAGTGTCATGAGATTAGAGAGTTTTATGTGCTCGCAGATGACTATACAGATCTGATGAGTTTATGTTGCTGTGTCAAGCCTTTTTTGTTGGTCTGATTCTTTGCAAAGGTGAAATCTTTCATTGACATCATGGTGAAGATATAGTGATTCGACAACCTACACTTATAGGGGATCATCCCTGGCCCAAGTACGTTCCTCGTTCAAGGCTTCTTATCTTTTTGGATGGGCAACCCAAGGCGTTTCCAAAAACCATTTTTTTTGGTAATGTTTGCGCGGGTGAAGGAATAACAACATCGTTGCTCCGGTCCAATTGCAGCCTCTTTACCAAAGTCTTTGGAGTATTTCTTCGAGCAGAGACTGACGCCGTGAAGAAGGTGTTTTCAAGGGAATTCATTGCAATTCTTAATAATCATATAAGTTACTTTGTATTTTCTTGGATGTTGGGTCTAACTCAGTGTATCTGTGATTATTATGAGTACGAATAAAGTTACAGGTGTTTAAAAAAAAATAGTCAGGTCGTGTCGTGTCGTGCCGTGCCGGCCCCCGTGCTGCCCCCTCCAGCCCAGGCACAACCCAGGATCTATGCGGGCCGTGCCGGGCCGGCCCGCGTGCTGCCCAGAAGCTATGCGGGCCGACCCAACGGCACGCCAGGCCCGTTAGGCCGCCTGTCTGCTATGTTGTTTTGGGGCCAAATTTGGCCTATTGGGCTATTTTTAGGCCATATATATTTAAAAACTCCTAAATAAGAATAAAATAAATAAATGGATCGTGCCATCCCGGCCCATGCGCTCAATCTTCAGGCCCACTCACAAATCCTTGCGTGTTGGGCCCGACCCGTTTAGCGCCTATCATGTCGGCGTCCTATCAAGTCGACCCAACTATCCTGACCCGTTTGGTCAGCTTTGTGCCCACCTCCCTACAAATGGGCCAACCATCAGCCCATGGTAACCATCACATGGGACAAGGGTGTGGCCTTTAAGACATGCCTAGGACCCGCGCAGCCTTTTGCGTCGACCCCTTTTGTTGCCATCTACCACATGAGCGCAGGAAAAACTTGCCCCTTCCCAACGTCTCTTGATCCCATTCGCGCGCGGCTGCTACTGAGGATCCCCACGTTTCTCTTGCTCCCATTCACGCGGATCATTTTGTTGTTGTCTCCTAAATGAAAGATTCAAACAACAAAAATGAAAGTTCAACATATGACGGGAATACACAATACGGACCACATATTAACAGTCAGCTGTCAGATAAAAAGATATGACGGGAATCCATAAGCCGGACCGTCCCAAAGACGAGATACTAATAGCATGCCACGTGGATGGGCAACGCTTCCCAGGGATCCCGGATGTGAATGGTGTTGCCAGGCATTCCCTCTTCGCGGATCTAGAAGGGGTTTTCCACGCAGGTGCCTGGCAACACCACTGGCTCACGCCATTTCACATCCGGGATCTTATCGCCATGAATAACAGCCGCGCGGTACTCAAAACACTTGTCAGATCCCAACCCTATCCATGCGCCTCGCTCATACACCACATGGGTACCTCATTACACTAACTCTATTATCACCACCATGGGCAGTCTTGATCCAGTCTCACTCATACTTCGTGGTACCCTCAAGCATGGTTTGGGCCTGCAAAACCATGGCCCCTGTTGTCGTCATACCAAGAAGCGAACATCACATTCGTGGCCTGTTGTAGTGAAATAATTTAAAAAATTCTGGATTTTTTGCTACAAACTTTGACAAATGTTCTCGGTGCTTGCAATTTTTCATCCAGACATCACATTCGTGGAAGTCGTGGTAAAAAAGGAGATGCACCCAAAATGCTATTCTTGAAAGCATTTTGAAGTGTTGATTTTGTTTTTTCTTTCACGACTTCCACGAATGTGATTTCAGGAAGAAAATTTTCAAGCACCGTGAACATTGGTCAAAGTTTGCACCAATAAAAATTTAGAGTTTTTTGAATTTTATTTCATTTAATAGAATTTACAATCCATCGCGAACTCAAATGATTGAGCTCGGGAATTGAAAGGGACTTTTGAGGCGTCCGCTTCAAATAGTCAAGCACCATGCGAGTCATTAGACCATGCGATGCCTCTGTTTCCTTTTGACCTCCTCCATTGCAGTTCTTTGGTATTGAGATGCTCGGCGACACTAATTGTACACTACGGTGGGTGGTCGGGCCGAAGTGATAATATGACAGCATAGTAAAAATAGTTGCTGTCATCAGCCCATAAACCTTAAAATGAAGTAAAAATGGTTTATGGGCTGATGACAGCAACTTTTCTTACTATGCTACTCTACATAAAAAACATAAAGGTCAATGTGTATGTACATTGTAGATCTTTAGTGTACTCTTATGTAGCCGTCTCATTGAACTAATAACGAAAACAATTACAAGCTTATTTCGGGAAATCAGGTGATCCCACGCGGATCGATGGTCACGATTCAATTTCGAATTAAATTATCTCAATTTAATGGTGCAGCCAGGCGAGGTTCGCTCACTTTATGTAGCATTGATGATGGAGTTTCCGTTCGTGTTATTTTGGGCATGAGTGCGCATTTGTCTGTTATTCTTATTCCAATACTAGTTTATTCCTCTCGGACGCGCTTTGTTTTTATATTATCAGCAGTGTGAGTTAAACTATTGTGGTCGATGCGAGCCAAAATAAATATAATTATTTATACTAAACGTTAATACTTGTTTATAAGTCATTTTTCCAAATTACAACAACAGATAAATATTATTGTAATCTAAACTATATTTTGTAAAAAAGTTAATTTTCAATACAGTAGTACATCTTAAAACATATTTAAGTCAATTCCACTTAATATGGTTGAATAAGAAAAAGGAAAAAGAATCATGTCTTTGTGGATTAATTTATGAATGTCATGTATTTATGTCATATATTTATAGCGGTCTCCAGGATTAGAGCAAACAGAAAAATCTAGAATACATGAGATGTTTATGAGGACTTTGATACTCTCACTGTAAAGAAATATAAGAGCGTTTAGATTGCTACTTGAGTTATGTAAACGCTCTTGTATTTCTTTATGAAGGGATTACCTAATAATTGACACACTATTTTTTTTCTTCATATTTTCTGGTATTAATGGTGTGTATACACTAGTAGAAAAAGGGGCTTTTGTCCCGGTTGGTAAGGCCCTTTAGTCCCGGTTTTTGAACCGGGACTAAAGGGTCGTTACTAATGCCTCTCCCTTTTAGTCCCGGTTCTTACACGACCCGGGACTAAAGGCCGCGGCCACGTGGAGCTCCACCTTTAGTCCCGGTTGGTAACACCAACCGGGACTAAAGGAAATTTTATGATTTTTTTTTGATTTTTTTTTTCAAATTACTGAATTATTTTAACCTCTAATCTCTAATCACCACCCCTCATCACTGCTCAATTTATCCTCTAATCTCTAATCACCCCTCATCATTCCCAATCATCTAACTTCCCGAACGGTTACCCATCCTCCCACTCCCCCAGCCTGAGCACGCTTATCTTCCGGGTTCTATTCTCCCTCGTTTCCAAGTCTGCACTTGTTGTTTTCCTGATAATAATAAGATGTCAATCCTATTAACCCTCAGGAATTTTGCTTGAGCATGAAGTGACACATTTCACTGTTTGAGTTTGAAACTATTGTTTTAAAAAACAGTAATTATTTAGTAACACTAATATTTCTTGAATAATTAGTTTGACCATTGTTTGACCACAATTTGACCAGATTTGACCAAAATTCAAAATAGATGAAATAATTATTTAGTAACATTAATATTCTAGAATAATTAGTTTGACCATTGTTTGACCACAGTTTGGAATTTTTTCGATTTTTTCCACTCTAGATCTTAAAAGCCCCGTAACTTTTTTTCTGTTAGATTTTTGATGATTTTGAAAATGTTTAACGGGGTTCCCCCCGTTAATTTTGGATGTAACTTTTCGAGTAGATGATTTTTTATATAAAAAACTTTTTCATCCGAGTTAGTATGCAAAAGTTATGCCCATCTTTACAAATTCTCGAGAGATTTTGCAAATAAAGTCGAAATTCATATTTCCAAATTTTCCCAACAACTAGACCACATATCACATGGGAAACTTATTTAGTTTTTTTTGACATTTTGATCATTTTCTTTTATTTTTTTTTAAAACTGAAAAGGCGATCCACGCGGAGGAGGGGGGGGGGTAGAGTTTGAAAATGGGACCTTTAGTACCGGTTCGTGCCATGAACCGGTACTAATGCCTCAAACCCCATTACTACCGGTTGGTGGCTCGAACCAGGACTAAAGGTCTAACCTTTAGTGCCGGTTGGTGCCACGAACCGGTACTAATGGGCATCGCACCCTTTAGTCCCGGTTCGTGGCACCAACCGGGACTAAAAGGTC